TTAAAAAGATTTTAGACAAAACTCAACTAGCTCAAAGTATATTATAAAACAAACATAAATTATATTATATGATAAAAGACAATTTTATTGGTTCTACATTTAGAATACGTATATCAAACTTGAACAAAGTGATTTCAATTCAGAAGATATAATTATGAAAATCGCAATTAATCATAAATGGTGTTACATACGGAGTACACTGAGCTACCATTGAAAACCTTATAATTATTATTATTTACTATTTATTAACCCAAATCCATTCGCCCTGCACAAAATACTTATATCAGTATTTTCTCGACGTGAAACTTATATTATATAAACAACTTGAATTTCTGGTTTTTTTTTTATAAAATTTTTGTTTGCTTGATAAGAAGTTTGAAAATATATACACTATTCTTGCAGCAACTAAAAAATATCAAAAATATATTGGTTTTTGAAGTTAGAGTTTAATTTATTTATTTAATTAAAGAAAATTCGTTGAAATTTTGAAAATGTTCAACTTATTTTGTAAGTTGAAACCTCGGCAAAATTCCCTGTAATCGTAAGTGGTTTTTAAAAGAATCTGAAGATTCCAAATATAAAAAAAATCCTCTCAAAAATACAAAATTATAGTTTTTTAAATATTTTGACTGATTACTAATATTATTATACTTATATATACCTACTACAAAGTACGAATCTATTAACGCCGTTCTGTGGTATTTGGTATTATCTATTATTTCATATTTGTTATAATATGCTAGTAAATAATAAAAATCTGGTTAGCAAGGAACGCTCTGCTGTACGCCTGTACAATAGATGGCTAGACTCTAAAAAGTAACTGTAATAGATGTGTTAAATTTGAATTCAATTATATAAAATCATCGCTAAGATGGTCTGTCAGCCTAATGACAGAGAATATGACTAAGTAGTTATATTTTACGATATTATTGTGAATAATGATTTATTTTACTACTAGGTATTAGGTACTACAGTAAGCTGAATTAATTTTTGCCAAAAAAAATATACATTTGAAAATATCATTACCTATGTGTATAAAACATAATAATACACTCTAAAATCTAAAAGTCTCATATATCCGCACGAATAATATTTTAAATTACCACAAAATAACTAAAATCGTTATTATTGGAATTAATTCAAATTCAAACTTTAAATAACTATAAACCAAGTGTGTATATTTTTTAGAATTTTCGGTTACAGAATTTACTATTAACCTTCGACCTTGTTTTCAAATTTCAATTCTTAGATATAAATGTTGAATATTTTATAATTTTTTTTTTAACTTTCAAATAATTTGTACATTTTGAATTTAACAAAAAATTTTAAAATTTTAACTTCAAATGCTTTAAAAAAAATTGTGCCTATGTATTTTTAATATTTTTCAACTGTTGTTGTAACAATACATCAGGGCTTTGAATTAAATTGTTAATTTTTTGAGACACCGAACAAAACTTTATTGACATTTATAGAAAAAAAAACTAATTTAGAAATGTGTCCCTAAACAGCTCAAAACGAGTAAAAATAATTTGAAAACTTTTTCTAGTATATAAAACGATAAAATAAACACATAATATAAATTTCAAGTATCTACGTTAATTTGTTTTTAAATTACAGTAAAATAAGAAAATCACTTCATGAGAAATCGAGCGAATAGAAAATGCTGTAAAAATTTGAACTTTTAATGCTCATAAAAATTTTATTTTATTTTATAGTAGAGATTTTTTTTGATAAAGGTAAACAAACTTATGAAAAATGTTGTGTTAAATTTTCAAAGATAATTTTGTCAAAAACTGATTTTTTAACGAGAATTTTTAAATAATTTTTTTTATACTTTTTCCATTACTGGGGATTTTAAATGTTGGTCTCCCAAAAGCACAATCTAAATTCACTTTACCACCGTAAAAGATACCGAAGTGCAAAATTGTTCATTATTTCTACTACTTATCATGAACGAAGTCACAAGTAAAAATAAAAAATACACGTCATTGTAAAATCAATACATTCATCGCTCAGCTCAGAATCTAAAATAATATAATGTGTCGAACATTACAATAATTTACGGTGATTATATAATGTACCATATGTGATGTTTTAGGCAAAAGTTAGTTTAACCTAGACACCCTATTATTTATAGAAATTTGCATAAATAAATTATAAAATATTCTTAGAACTAGATTTATAGAGACTGACACACGCTGTAACCGCTCAGAATTGTTTTTCGTATGCAATAAAGTATCACTGAAATTCAATTTAATACATCCATATTCTGTCATAACGAACACGGCAAATTCAAATTGAATTTATCCATTTCAGTCGAAAACTACTTAATGACGAGGTAGGTTTACACTATTGAAATCTACTATGCAGCAGATCGACTTCCACGGATTACGATTATTTATTTACAATACCTATTATTTATTATTCACTGTTCATTGACACGAAATATTTATACATTTGTACGAAATCGTTAATGTCGTAGGTTATATTATTATTATACATTTTATACTAACAATATAATTAGACAATGGTGCCGAGAAACAAAACAAAATATTTTGATGGCTGTAACATATTATAGTTTTTCAAAACATCAATAATAACATTTGCCTTATTGATTTCAAACGTTTTCTATTTAAAGCAATGACATATTTTGCGTAATGATTTTTAAAGTGTGAAACTGATGGTTTATTTTATGCTGGGCCATATAGGTAGATTTATATTATATCATTTGAGGTTTTGATGAAGTGTCATACCTAACTCATTAAATTATAATTACCTATAATATTGTTTAGCTCCACTAGTACATGCATGCAAATTGCAAGGTGACTTCGTTGTAGATATCATTGGTGTATTTTATTTACATACTGAAACAAGTAGGTAGTCTAAAAGTATAATAGGTATCGACAATTTTTCTTTTTTAACGTGTCCTTGAGATTATGTCAGTTATTTTGAGTAGCGAAAATCAAGTCTTGAATGTAACGTCAGTTTTTGAAGGTGGCTTTTCCTAATCGGGTATGCTATGCCAAACTCGTCGCAGCATCTCTTCACGAAGAAATACATATGTATATTATGTGCATATTTCTGTAATCTGCGATTCATTGTTAATTTCCGTACGAATAGCATCCTTGGCCAACGTATAGGTACCTGTGGGGTTTGTCGTCACCTTAAAATCTTGATTTTCGAAACAAAATAAATGTTTGTCAATAAAATAACTATTACGTTTTTGTCTTCAAAATTATACCTTCGCAATATACCTATACCTGTTACTACTAGTTTTTTTTTTTTTTTTTAATGTAAACACCTATAGCTTGGTCCGCTTTCTGCTCAGTTTATATCGTTCTAGTAAAACTGCTTAACGATTATGATTAAGAATACATACCGATGAGATGATTAAGATTATAATTCATAATAATAATATACTCCCTTTACGCCGCGGTCTCGCCACGCGTACGTTATCTCATCCGTCGGTTGCAGCAGGGCTTATATTATTATTATTATTATTATTATTATTGTACGACGATGATGCCGCGTAGGTAATAATATTTTCGTAATAGCCGGGCGGCGGCGGTAGTAGTGGCCTCTCTCTCTCTCTCTCTCTCTCTCTCTCTCTCTCTCTCTCTATCTCCCTCTCTCTCTGGCGCAGACATAATAAAACCGATAAATTATCATTAAAGCAAAATATATGTCGGCGCGCGCGCGTAAGGTATACCAAGCGGCGCTGCGCGGGCAGCGGTAGGTTTTGTATATACGTCAGCGAGTATACCGGCTATACCTGCCTACCTATTATTACACTCATTTTGTTTACGTATAGATACCTATTGCACGCCAACGGAACAGGGTACATTATACCTAGGTACTTTTATTATAATTCGTCGGTAAAAGTTCGGGACGCACGTACCCACCTACCCACCTAAATAATACCCATCGCGGGCAGTTAATTAGGAGAACGCTCGCGCACGCGCGCCCCCGACGTGCATAACCATCGCCAATGGTTGGCGGGTGGCAGGGGGCGGGGAAGAATATCGCCGCGCAGTTAAGGGACGAACGCTGCTTTATATGTATATTGTAGTCGTCGACGTTTGGTTGTGGTGGTGGTAGCCGGGGCGGGATGGCGAGGGGGGTGCGAAACGTGCGGGTGGCTGAGGTGCCGCGGAAAGGGATGATCGGTGTTCGCGGAAAGGGGGTGGTGGGGTAGTTAAGTTTAAAACACCCATCAGTGTGCATTATGCGCGGGCACGCCGAAATCATATTTACGTTTTGACCCCGGCTGTCGGCGAGGCGGCGGCGGTGTCTGGTGCGGCGGGTCGACGCGTGCGCTCTTCCGGGCCGGGGCCAGGCGAGCGCGCGGCGCCATGGCGTCACCGCCGAGACGCAGCGGCGCACGCGCGCCCGCCCCACGACGCGACGATCCAACCCACGGCACGACGGCCGCCGACGGCGACACCGACGGCGACGACCACGGATGCCGCCGCCGCGGCCGACGCACACACACAGTGCCGCCGGACGCGCAGACCGTCGGGCGATACGAGCGATACATCGGTCGCGGTTATTGGGTACACATGCGAATACGCACACACACGCCTACACACGGACGTTTTGCACACGCTCCGAGCCGATCTTTCGCCACTGTTCGCTCGTCACGTGGTCGGTGTGCTCAAACCACGACCCGCCTATATATTCCCGTGATAATAGGTGTATACGCTCCGATAGTAATTTTTCTAATACATCTTCATTAAGATGTCACCGATTAACCAGAAGTGTACGATAATGGGTTACGGATAACGTATCATATTATACCGTTGTACTGTCACGACACATTTCGATAGAAAAATTAAACTTTTTTTCAAAAACGACGATAAAAAATCGCACGTGTTCTTGTCACAGGGCCTGTACATAATATACACAGGTTCTTGCCTGGTTTCGCACCCTCTCCGCTCACCAATAACCGTTTGATATTGGAATAACGCGTCGTCGCGTGCGACTGCATTGCCGCAAATGGTATGATGACCATGATGTATGGATCGGAAAAAATGATGGCCGGCAAACCGCCGTTGCCCATCACAGCCACCGGACCGTGTTTTCCCGGCCGGTACTCGCCGACGTACCGGAATTCTGCGGACCCGATGCGCAGATGTATGGCCAACCCGTCGGTAAGTCGAAATAATCGTGTTTTTCTTTTTTTATAATTATTATTAATACATAATACATCAATCCCGTCGCTGCACGAGTCTCCAGCAGTTTGGGATTAATTATTTTTCGGCTATTTCGTGTTGTTATGTGTGAACGATTGAAGGTATACCTAATTATTGGTATGGTAATCGTATTTTCACTTATGTAGTTAATAGTTGGTAAATTCTTTATCAATTCATATTATTCACACAGATTATAAAACTGCAGATGTGCAAAAAAACGCATATTATTACATAAAGGTATGTCATAATGTTATGTAATATGTATCGTATTTAAAGATATATTATATCATATATCATCACATACCAATTATTCTCAAAGAATGTAGAACAAAATATAATACGTATCATTAACCATATCTATGGAGTGTTTTTTTGTTCAAAACTTAAAGCTATATTACGGCTTATTAATCATAAACAAAGATTATTATCATATTGAGACATTTTAATGAATGAACCTATAGTCCATTGAAAATTAGAATTGTGATAGATTAAGTATAATTATTGTAGGCGTTTATAAATACCTAATATGTTTATTATGTTAATATGTTTATAAATATTAGTATATAATAAGTATTAATGTATTTGCAGATAATGTATTACTTTTTAAATATGATGTACCTATACTTACCTCTATTCATATTTTATATAATTTCATGGAAGATGATGAGTTTCTAATGTTAACATTTAGAACATTTTTGTCATAAATAATTAATAACTAACTAAAAAAAAAATATTGGTTAATCAATGCATGATATACGAGGAACTTTTACTTTATCTCTAGTTATTCGCATTATGACGAATATTTTTTATTAGACAATAAGTTAGTGATAACAGATTTATATCAAATAATTTACTTAAGAATTATTTAAAATGATTAAATTAATCTATTATATGCGTTATCACAAATGCATAATTATTAAATAAAACCCACAATTGGATAATGTCTTTGATCTACCTAATAAGATAAGTCAAACAATTATTGCTGGATTATAAATTCTTAAGAATAAAATAAAATCAATATTATATAAAAAATATGTAATCATCAGTATAGGTAACTATTGCATTCTTCATATGAGCTACCTGATTGTAATTTATAGCACTCTAAACCAATAATCGTTTGTCTTATCTAAAATCTCATACTTTCAATTCAGCTGGTGAAGTAATAGGAACTACAGTTGATGAATAATGAATTACAAATAAGTATACTCAAACAGATTCATTCCCATCGGTGCTATCCACTTTTATGCATAATAATAAATTATTATATTCATTTGAAAAAGGGTTAAGACATAGATTAGAAACACGAATATGATTTACAATTAATGTCTTCACAACTACTAGTTCTTTTGAAATGGGATTTTTTAACCCACAGTAAGAAAAACACATTTCAAAAATACGTTTCATGATTGATTTACTACCGAGCAATAATTTCCCAGTTGACATATAGATCTATATATGTATATTGTATTAGAACAATTTTTTCTGCTAAAAGTAATACCCATCATTGTGAAACCAATATAGTAATATTATAGTTATATTTTTATGCCACAAGGACATGCGCTCATAATATTCATAGAAAATATCGAACATAAAGTTAATTTCTTAAAGTGAACGTTACAAAATACAAAGTATCCTATTAGCCATATTATAGTTCATATACTATAATCAATTCATCAATAAAATATTAACTAGAATGATACTTGTTGAGTTATTTCAAGTTTTAAATAAGGTATGAAAAAAGGTTTAAAGCATTTAAATATGTTCTTATTTATTTGTGTACATTATTCATAGATTTATTTATTGTGCCATAAAATCTGCATAACATATATACCTCTTGAAGAGGAATAAATAAAATTTGAGATTTAAGATTAGGATTTCACTCCAAGGAAGTACAATTTTTCTCCTCAAAAACTCAATTTAATCACCAAGATATAATATAATAACTATAGATTGTTGTTTATTTTTAAATAATTAATATTTTTTTATGTTTATGTTTTTTACACGTGTACCATGTATCTATAACCTATGTACATAGGTACCAAACTATAGAAAAAAAATGAACACTCAATACTACCTAACATACAAAAAGTAAATAACATAATTTTATAGCGTAGTCATTTCGATGTCGGAAGCCAAAGAATAAAGATATTTAAATACTATAGTATTTTAAATATTTTTATGAATGTATATTTTATTATATTTCTTATTTAAAAAAACATTAGGTTATCATAAAAGATACAAAAATAATAAAAATTAAAGTCTATTTTTCATTATTTTTTTCAACATTTCCTTGCATTTCCATATCATTGGTCACGTCAATAACAGTATTTTCTTTGAGATTCATTTATACGGTATTATCACTTTCATTTGTATCTAATTCGTTTAGCTTGTTTGTCATATTCATGATTTCTTGTTGAAGTACGGCAATCTCTTGCATAACAGTATCATATTCTCCTTGCAACATTTTTAACTCTTCTTTTTCTGGGATAACTTCAGTCATATTCGTACGTATAAATCTATATATGTATATTTTTTAATGTTTTAGTGGCATTTATATGACATTGCATTTTAATTTGTAAAATTTACTTTTTAACTATGTATCTAAATTATTCTCAACTGTAGATGTTAAAAGGTTAATATTTTACTGTAGGTATAAGTATATGTGTGGAAAATTAAGAACATTATAATATATGGTGAATGACGTTTGAGTGTGTGTAAAAATCAATAAAATAATTTAAAAGTTAAAATACATTTAACATATTATTACGTACATACCTACATATATTATACCTATATTATATCGATATAGTGAAATACACAGTCACAACAATTAGCGATAGCAGGGAATACCCGAATACGTTTGCTTTTAACATAATATGCTTTTATCATAGTAAAGTGGTGGTGGAGTATTTTTATTATTAATATGTATTACAATTAAAACACAGACTTAAGTGTATCATATTTTATTAAAAAATCATCAAGATTCTAAGCTGAGTTGTTGTTTTCGATCTCAAATGGAAAACCAAAACTTTATTTAAATACAACTTTTAAAAGTACTGCTTGAACAATTTAATAATTTTAAGACTGGAAAATGTGATAACCTGAAAAATCGTATAATATTATTGCCTAAGACTATATTATAATATCATTTCCTAGCTATATTACAAATTACAATCATACATCATAAGACCCTATTAACTATTATTAGTAAAATACTTATATTTAATGAGTAAAATATTACAATCTTATAGTACCTACATGTATATTGTTTATATAGGTAAACGTTATTTAAATAAATTAAATTAACTATTGATTAGAAAATATCAACACATATATGTAAAGTATTTACTTTATTTATATTATTTTTTTTTTTGAAACTTTCCTTGCCTCATTGTTTAAGCGGCCAAAGTATGGTAGGATTTACAATAATTTAACCTAACAAAGTTTACATAATTTAAGAGGTATAACAATTAATATAAGTATTAAATAAGTTCCAATGGTCAGTTTTCATATTTGAAGTTTGAACCACATTCGGGTAAAAGTTAATTAGAATAAATAAAAAATGTATACATACTTTCAGTTTTCACCCCACACAAATTAATTAAAACAAACTAATGTAAGTTATATTGATATCAAGTAATTTAGAAACTATTTAAACTTTATAGTAGTTATTGTCTATGGTAGGTACCTATTATACTTTTTTTTATAATTTATTATAAATAAATAATAATAAAGTACTAATGTATACTTTATACTATAATTATTTAAATATTTGATAGAATATTATAAATAAAATAACATTAAACAACATAATTTTGTCATTAATAAAAATTAATGTTTAATGAACAATAAACTTAATATATATTTAATAAGAAAATGTGTTATAAATACTCGAGAGGATCAACTGGTTTTTCATCCATTTCGTACAATAGCTTTAAAACATCAGTTAGCTTAGCAATAACACCAGTTTTTTCTAAATAATTTGTATATTCTTCAGTCATTTTACTAATTGGGTGGCACGATGTTTGTATTTTAGACTTAGAGAAAAAAAATTAATTTCGGTCAATTTGTTATAGGTGCATAGTTAAATACTTAACTCTAGCTGATTTACGTCCCATAAGGGATATTGTAAACTTTTAAAGAAGAAAATGTGTATTTTTATTATTAGGTAATGTTTCGTTATTAACGTAAATTAGAAAAACTTATGCAATAGGGTTAGTAATTATGCTATAGATAATTCTGTAATCTTGATCTTCTTTTAGGAATCAAAAGTATTACCCTTTTGACCAACCTCCCAGTTATTATTATATAATGATAATTTATTGCATAGGTAGTTGCGGTACATACTTGCCGTTCAGTATAATAATTTTCAGCCATAATAAAAAACAATATTTATTGTTGATCTCAAATAGTCTAGCCGGAGCGTTTAAAATATTTGTTATACTATTATCAATAAGATTCACATAAAGTGTATCATTGAATGTCGAATGTTTACGATGTTATATGTATTGTATATAGTACCTATATTAAATATAATTCCCATGGTTATTGCTTTTAATAAAATCAAACCAGAAAATATAAGACATTTACAAAATCATAAATAGATTTAACAGAAATAATATCAAATGTTATACGACTTTTATGAGAGTGAAGATAAGTTAAACGAGTATTTCTGTTCGGCGCGGTATATAGGAGAGTATAAAATATATACACGAAAAGTTTGTATTTATTTGTGAACTTTCGTTCGTATATTCGTTTATCGATTTCGACCCTACTTGTACAAACCAACACATACATCAACAATATACCTATACCATGTTACATATGTTCTTCGCTATATCTATATTATTATAACGTTCGAGGGGACGTAAAGTTTTCCGTTCGCTATAGGTAATATTAAATACCTATGTATATTTACCTAAGTATATTCATATAATGTGAATTTAAAATTCAAAAATATTTTATAATTTTTTCTGTACTTAAAATAATATTGGAATATATTAAATCTATATTTATACTAAAAACATTGTTTTTATTGACTTCGAATAATTAGGTAAAATAAAAACAATAGATAGGTAGCGAAAGAAAATTATTTTAATATTTTTAACCAAATTATTGAAGAAATAAGAAAAGTCAAGTTTTTCCCAACTTTTCTGAGCTTAATTATGTATCAAAATGTTATGTTACCTAGGCAGGTGATATTACAGCTGAATTAGTTTATTACTTATATACTTCTATTTTTTAAATAATCAGACATAAAAATTTCATAACATCTCTATGAAAATAAAAATAAATGAATACGGCCATCCAAGTATATAGGTATAGTAAAAGGATAATAAAATAATTTGTAAAAGTCAGAATTAAAAATAAATCTATTGGAATAAGTAATAAACATTGCGGTGTTTGTGGAAACTATTTGCAAGCATAATTATAGAGATACCTATATAAAGTCCAAATGCTTATAAACACCGGTACTATTTCCGATTTACGACTCGTAAATATATAATAAACTGGAAGTGATACTTATAATCGTAAATAAATTAAGTTAATTATTTTAAAGCTGCGTGGTGGGTACTTGCGACTTATAAAAGTTTCATTGAAACCGTAATTTTTATTTTATTTTATAGAAAACAATCATTTTTTTTATTTTTCAAACGAGATTTTTTTAGTATGACTATTGTTTCTTCAGAAACAGACATTAATAAGGTACGAAAATGATCACATATATAGCTAAATAGGTGGGTATGTCACAATGGGTAGATATAATAAGTGTGATAGTATGTCGCATCCACATACCTATTGTGTGGTAGAATGTGTATAGAGCAGTAGAGCACGTCATATTATTTGAAAATATATCATTTGAAAGTTCAAGTTCCAGATAACTCGCGTGTGTATTGATTGCCCGGCAATTGGAAATTTATTTACTGTTATTATACATTTAACATAGGTAGTTATCTCCACAATATAGGTATATATCCTTAATAGACAAAATAATATATATTTATAATATTATATACCTAGTACCTACCTATCTATTACACGACTTTACTATAATCAATATAGGTATATTATATCAGGTCGTTAAACCTACTATACCTACATATATAAAGTCGAGTTGTATATCAGTTTACCGTGTTATAAATGTCGACTATTCATGCATCTCATACATGCAGTGGCCTGCAGTGACATTAAAAACTTTTTAACAGTACCTAAATATGTTGTGTAAATGTGTAACTCAAACTTTATGATGAGTCCCCCTAGGGAAGGACTTTAGAAGGGGTCTTTATATTTTCTCAGGTGCCATTTGTAATTTTCAGTATAACAACGCTATGACGTTTATTTAAAAAAAACGAATCCAAGAATTTAATTTACAAACACTGAAAATTTCCGAAAAGTACTATACATAGGTACTGCAACAAGAGTTAATAAATTGAAATATTGAATAGGTAGGTACAACATATGGCACATTTAGTTATTCAATATATATTATTCACCACCTTTATGTTTAGACTTTTAGTTATAGATACAGTTTTGTTGTACAATGAACACTTGTACCTACCTAATATATATTTTCCTAGTTATTCCATTTATTATACATAGTATGTAATACATATATATAGTATATAATATAATTACTCTCATTAACATGTACCTATAGGTACCAAATTATGGGTAAGATAAAATTAGAGCAATATTATTCACCGAAAATCAATTGGGTACGTATATAATATATATAGCTATAGGCATATCTAACGATATTTCGTAGAGCAATGAATAAGGCAGGAATACAATTAATTTTTTAATATATTAATATATGTAATTACTTGATAAGTATGGGTATCTACATATTATATATTTTTTTAAATATTAAATAATAAATAGATTTAACTTTTACAGTTCGTACTTACATGTATTTATATTTTTAAACGATTCTTATTTATATTTTGTAATGTAAGTGCCTACATGCAGTTTGTTCAAAAAACATTGTTGTGTTTTAACTTTTAATAAATTAATAACATCAACTTTTTTGTGAGAATAACTGCAGTAGGTTAGGTTGTCCTGCATTTTGATCAACCTTGAGAAATCCTGCACTAGGTATAAGTATCGAATTTAGGCAGAAGTATGATTTAAGATATGTATAGTTGGTTTATCTTAAATCGTGGGCACGAGTTGTCATCAGCGTAGCTTTTTAAGTTTAAACAATATATAATTATATACGAACGTACATGGTCCCTATATAATACGGCTAGATACTTTAATAATATATTATATATTATTTTAATATTATGTAGTATAGATTAATAGATTATAATATATATATATGTATACAAATGATACACGTGTTTATAGTATTGACAACGATGCATGTGCAGGGATGATATGAACTGTAATATTTATACGACTCATGAATGACAGCTGCACTGCTGCAGTGACATAATAGGTACCTCTATAGTCTATATAAATATCATATTTGTACAGTCATCATTCGTGTATGTTTATATTTACTATTTGTTATAAAAAATATTTTTATAAATTATAAACATTACAAAAATATTAGGCAAGTATAAGTACCTATGGTCGTAAAATTAATTTAATTAATGTGGTACACAGAGAGACACGTGTATATAGAGAGCACGTACATTTCATTTGCCCCCCCCCCCCAAAAAAAATAAATATTTTTTCCAAAATATTTGTTCTAAACAATTTTAAGGTGTTGCATTATAATTTTTTAAGTATTTATTCTTTTGAATGATAGCATAAAGATTAATTTTTAATTTAAAATTACTCTGTAACAGAATATGAGTATTTCAATCTATATAAAAATCAAATTTTAGAGAAGTAGTTTATTTGTTGTATACACTTATAGCCTGTATAGGTAAGTATATAAATAGTTTAGATATGCGCTGCAGAGTATAGTGGACCAACATTTTGCGAAGGTATACCTATATTGTACCACTCCATTCAGCGGCTCATCTATGTATTTTAAATACTTATAAATTATAAATCAATCGTCAAAAAATGGATTTTTATAAAGTATATATTATACTTGGAAGTACTCTAAAAAAAAATCTGCTTTGGAATAAGGAATTAAATTCGAAAAAGTAATCAAAATAAAATACAACGATAGGTAAAGCTAAAAAATATTAAGTTTATTTTTTAGAAAAGTGTTAGGTACAGTATTTTATAATATAATATTATTAAAATAAAACGTTTAATTTAAATAGTTGTTGAAACAATATGAGTGTCTTACGTTAAATGGATTACCCGCGCGGTTAATAATATATCCATAGATTATTGCGTACAACGATGCAGTGCGCGCGGGACGCCGGGGCCGCGTACGGGGCACTTACGTTAAACCGCCGGTTGCGTACGCAACGATCAATTTGCGGCGTCCCGATAAAAACGTCACGTCGCCGTGTTCGGCAGCACGATGAGTCTCCGCCGCCGCCGCCGATAGCGGACGACGGCCGGACGGACGGCGGCGGTCGGACGGCGGGCGGACGGGCGGGCGCCGGGCAGCAAATGGCGCCCGAGATCGATGACGGAGAGTCGGTCCCACGCGCGCCGCTCGTCAATTGGTCCATCGGCGCTCCACCCCCACTCACCCGGCTAACCGCCGTCGCCGCCGCCGACTATACGCATTATTATTAATATTATACAGTTTTCGGCGTAACGGCGCGCCGCGCGTCTATCGGCGGCGTTTCACGCGCGCGCGCGCGCGCGCACGCACCCTCCCCTCGCGCCCACCCGCTCGTCCGAATGGTACGCGCCCGAGAATTGGTTTCCGTGACCGGAATGCAAGACACCGCATCGGTCGGCCGCTTTTAATGTATACGCGGCCCGCGACGACGTCCGAAGACTACGACCGCGGTAAACGAAGACGTCACGGTTGCGGTATACGTATAATATAGTGTATTACATGTGCGCACTCTAATATACGTCTGCATACATAATATGTGTACAGTTATATATATATAATATATATATGATAATAAAAGGGTGCCTGGGTGGGCTAACACGGTTTTGTCGGCGGCGAGTGTATTTGGTGAGGGGAGGTGTATACAGTAATATATAGACGTTTCGATGCGGAATTTATGCGGACGAGACGCGCCGCTCATCCGCGTACGTATAAACGGTTTTTGGTATTCCGCACGTGTGCCCCCGAGTTGGGTTTCCAATTTATTAAACGAGATAAACGCACGCTGCGGTGTGCATACTGTATAATATATATATATTATATATATATATGTAACATTTAAGCTTCTATACATATACCTACCCCTCGTACATATATATATATATATATATATATATATATAGGTGGGTGTATGCA